TGTTGGAAAAAAAAGAATTCTAAACAATCTTATTTCATAATTGTAACTCATTCCTAATATTTTCTCCGTCTTTCTCTATATTTGATGGGCTTAAATTACTTCCCACCAAAAAAAATCTTAATTTAAGGGTGCCTGCACACACCCTGTGCAGCATTTTTCATCTGTAAAGTTAATTTGTAAAAATTCCTGACTGCTGTCATGAGTTTTCCTGTAACCATGTATAACTAAATGTAAACTGGTGTCTGACAGCCAAAGATTTCATCAGTAATTTGATGCAGAAGAATCCAGAGAAGAGGTTCACATGTGATGAGGCTCTTCAGCATCCTTGGTTAGTATTGCTTTCTATAACAAAAAAAGGCACACACAATAGACGTGTTTACTGTGGTGTAAGATTAAATTGGAATGCATTGGAGCCCAAACAGATAAATTTTGCAGTCTGATTCATTTTTCAGTTATTATTGAGGATTGCCAGGGTTGTAATCAAATTCAGTGTGTAACAGTTACAGACAAGGCAGTAAGGCCCAATAGCTTTATATTCATAAATTGAATTTTATATTGGTAGTATTGGTTTTCACTATGGGAGTGACAATATATAAATCTGGAAAAAATATATACCGAAATAGATAAATGCAGAAATACATTTTTATGTGCATGTTTGCATCTGTTAAAAAAATTCTCACAATTTGTTTAATTATTCATTATACTTTATTTTTGCGTTCATTCATTTATTTCAGCATATATTTCTATATAGATTTTCTTTTTTTTTACATTTACATTTTTTTACTTATTGCAGTTTTGTGTCATGAATATTACATTTAAATTTCCACATTTATATCTTCAAAAATATATATATAGATTGTTTGATTTTCTTTATGTTTACTCTTCAGAAGTATCATGCTAATTTTTTCCACCCCTCAACTTTAGGATAGCTGGAGACACTGCCCTTCGTAAGAATATCCATGAGTCTGTCAGCCGGCAGATGAAGAAGAACTTTGCTAAAGCCAAATGGAGAGTGAGTAACATCTCTCTGGTTCAAACTGATTTCTGTACTTGATTTCTGGTAATGGCAGAAGGAAGAACAAGAAATTGAGGCCAGTATAATTTAGTCTACAGTCTGTAACACAGTGCCATATGTAGTCTACAGCACAGATATTGCAATATACTTTTGGAAGTGAGATTATAACTGTCAAAACTCCCTCTTTTACAGCAAGCCTTTAACGCTGCAGCGGTGATCCGACATATGAAGCGTCTACAGCTGGGCAGCAGTTTAGGCAGCAGTATTGACTCCACCCAACACAGAAACCAGAACCAAACCCCCATGCCTATCAAGAGCCAGTCTGTCGATGTATCCTCCATCAGCCGTAATGACTGTAAGCTAATATAAATTCATAGTTTTTTCTCAATCTGTATTTAAGTTAAATGACCCATCCGTGCAGTGAAACACCACATACACATTAGTGACACACACACACTAGAGGGCAGTGAGCACACTTGCCCAGAGCGGTGGGCAGCCCTATCTGCAGTGCCCAGGGAGCAATTGGGGGTTAGGTGCCTTGCTCAAGGGCACTTCAGTCATGTACTGTTAGCTCAGGGGATTGAACCAGCAACCTTCCGGTCACAAGGCTGGTTCCCTGACCTCCAGCCCATGACTGCCCCCATTTTTTATGTTTTTCAATTGACATAAAATATAGCTTAAAGGTTGTGATAGTTGTTTAACATTGAAGTGGTATTATAATTATGTACACTTGTTTAAGTGGTTTCTGACATGCTGTTGTCTATAAAAATGAACAAAACAACAAACAAATTCAGGCTTGAAAGTGGCTGCTGGTTATCTGTACAATGTACTTTTGTTCATTTTTGTAGATGTTTTGGGTGAAATACATTTTGAGTAATGGAATATTGTGTGTTATTTTTTATCATATGATATATATCAAAAATATCATATTTATATATCATTTTCATCATATGATGTAATTATTACATTATATAAATCGTTGACTGAAGATTGTATTATTTTTATGTAGTTGCATCCCAGAGAGGCTCGAACACGGGGGCAAAGGAGAAGCGATGTACGAGGCCTTCCACCGTCACCACCATCATCACTGGATCCAAGTGATGCCACCTTTTTAGAGGACCATTTGAAGACCACAGCACCTTCAGACTTTGAACACACTCTCTCCACTTCCATTGGTCATGTCTTCTCTCCACCCTGATCAGCCTGTGATCTCGCAGCTGTCAGTCAGTAGCACAGTCTTCACCCTTCGCTGTGCCAGAAGGCACCATGTCCTCCTGCATGAGGAGTTCAAACACATGGTGTGAAGAGAGACTCTTGCTGATGAAAGCTGCTGTTGACTTATGTGGCACCTGTTTTCTGTTGTGGAGCTGAGTTTGACTGATGTGACTCGTTCATGTGATGCACTATGGCATTAATATGGAGATAATGGACTATTAAAGCTGCTTTTAGTTTGAAATTATGAAGGAAAACCATAAAGTACATAAATGATGTATATACATAGAATTATTAGATGGTCTGTTTATTTCAGCTAGTTCTGTGTTTCTTACATTATGATTGGACAACAAAACAGAGCAGCATTTTCCACTAAAAACCAAATGAGATGTTAGATGATCACATGCAGCAAAGGTTCAGATTGAGTTTTTTCCAGTACTGGGCCTGCATGTTAAGGTAATACAGGTTTGTAATTGGTCACACCATCGACTGCAACCCAGTAATGAAGCAGTACTATAACATACAAACTGAAAAGAAAATGCTATTTATTGATTTTTTTAAAGGACGTCAAACTTCATGTATACATGACAGTGGTAATTCATTTATTTGTAAGTGAAACTGTATGAATATCAAACCATATAACTAGAGCATGCATCCATCCTAGGCACCAAAGCGTTGTACTGTAAAGACTGTAGAGTGACTGAAGTGATACTTCCTCTTACGGTGTTGTTTGTGCTATCAATTTTGGTAAACGAGACACTGGACTATCATTTATTTTTTCACCTGTGCACAAGTCACTGAGTAGCATAGAGCTTGTAGTGTAGTGCTGAAAGATGCAGTTTGATTTTGTCCCTGTGTGTGGGTATTGGTGAAGTGTGATGTGTTTGATGATGTAAGATTCTTGGTATGAAATGTTACCTGGAGTGGACCAGTTTATTTTTTCATGTACTCTGGATTATTTTTGACTTGCTTGAAATAGTTACTATTGTATTTTTCCATGTTACTGAAATTTATAAATGCTCTCAGGAGGACCTCTGAGAATGGTTGGCAGTAATTCAGTAGATACAGCTTTGTATAATATTCAGTTCTTTTAATGTCAGATTAATGGATTGTATGAGGGGAAAAACACTGAAAACCTGTTACCACAAGAATATATTCCATATGCCACAAGGTCTATTTTGGACTGCATTTTGATGCATCATCCTTCACTGAGAGACGAAGAAAGAGATGAGCAGATTTGTCTGAGGAATAAAATAAGTGTTACAAACCCAGTTCCAAAAAAGTCAGGACAGTATGTGAAATGCTAATAAAAACAAAAAAAAAAGAAAGTGTCCAGCCTGTATTAAATTGAAAACAACACAAAAACATGACGACGATATTTGATGATGAACTTTGTTGTTTGTTTATTGTAAACATATGCTCAATCCAAATTTGATGCATGCAAGACGTTCTAAATAAGTTGCATGTTCACAGCTGTTTCACATCTAATTTTTCCTTTTAATAACACTTAATTGTTTTGGTACTGAAGACACTAATTGATCTGGTTTTGAAAGAGGAATTTTTTGCTATTCTTTCATCATACAAGCCTTAAGTTGTGCAACCATTCTTGGTCTTATTTTGCATTTCGTTGTGCAGCATTTTCAATGGAAAATAGGTCTGGACTGTAGGCAGACCAGTCTAGCACCTGCACTCTATGATTGCTCAGCCATGTGTGCCAGTAACACATGCAGAATGTGGCTTTGTGTTGTCAGGTCGAAGTAAACATAGATGTCTTTAAAAAACTAAGTATGTGTATTTCAGCATTAGATGTGCCCACAAGTTACCCATGACATGGGATCCTAACAGTTACTATTGCTACTGTACGTTGTATGGACTTAAATATGACTTTGGGAAAGATGAAAAACAGATCACTCCTGGTGTGCTTACAGTCTTCGTAGAAGTGTTCTGAATTTAGCAGCTAGGTGCAGCTTCTTTCATTCACATCCCAACACAGAGAGAGGCTTGTACTGCTTCTGCTTCCCACATTCAGTACTTATTTATTTCATTCTAGTGTTGAACTGTTTTCATCACTCAAAAGGAAAAAAAGAACGCTATATAACTGGATATGGTATTTTATTTAATTGATGTACCATTTTACATTCAATCTCAACATAGATAGAGTAAGAATAACTTGCTCCTTGTCAGAATGCAATCCGCTGAGTTCAATACGTACGTTTGACTAGACTAAAAAAATGCAGTTGGCACATAGGCATACATATACTAGCTGCATATTTGTCTTAATAGCGTATTTAACCATTAATAATACCATATACAGATGCAAATTTCGGGTTTAAACTATACTGATTTAAACATGACTACAGCTCAAAACAGCATGAATAAACTGGTAAAGGCCGAGTCATTTGCAGTTGTAGTATATCATACTGTAATTATCACAAAATTATACATCCTTCCAAATTTAAAAGATGAATCACACAGCATGCATCACAACATGCTTTGCATAATTTTCTCAAATCTTTCCAGTAAATCAGAAAGTAAAGCAATGTACATATTGTTTTGTCAGCTATGTAAATGAATATTTATTTTGTGCAATGCAATTTGTATAATGTGCTTGCATTACTGTTAGCATTGTTTTGATAGGTTTGTTACATTGCACGTTCTGCTTAGGTGCAAAGCTACAAAAGCAAAACACGAACAATTTGTGCAGCAGTAATTGTAGTAGGAAGATCAAGAATTGTATAATAATTAATTTCTTGTCCAGTTGCTGTTTTTTTTATTTTCGCCTGGAATAAGCAAAGGCTTTAAGTTTGAAAGAGCACAGCATCATTGCAAGTGATGTTATCAGTATCTTTAACTCTTCATCTACCTGCATCCCCACCAGAAATAATGGCTGCGTTTTTGTCCAGCAGATGGTGCTGTAGCTCTGACCCAATAGATTTTGTGCCATTTCCCAGTTAATAAATCTCTGAGTGCATGATGATGATGATGTTTTTACTCATAATTGTGCTACACAGTTGTCAGGGAATATTTTTGTTCAGTAGCACCTTTTTTATCCCCTGATGGGCAAAAGCTCTGCTGGCAGGTTTAAATGGTGTGCCGGTTGTACTCATAAGAAGGGTCAAGGCCATCATAGTGGAACTCTCTCCACTGCTCTGTCTTCTCCCGGGTTCTCTCATCTTGCTCTGAAAGAGAGATGAAAAATTTATCAGTTCGCAATGGGATAAATCAGTTAATAGATAGATACACTATATGGCCAAAAGTATGTGGACACCCCTCCTAGTTATTGGGTTGAGGGGTTTTGGCCTCACGTATTGCTAACAGTTGTGTAAAATCAAGCACTTAGCCATGCATAGACAAACATTGGCAGTAGAATGGGTCTTACTGAAGAGGTCAGTGATTTTAAACATGGCACGGTTAAAGGATGGCACCTTTGCCTCAAGCCTCATGAAAAGTTTGCAAAATGTCTGCCTCTGGAGGCAACATCAGCACAAGAACTGTGCATTGAGAGCTTCATGAAATGGGTTTCCATGGCTGAGCAGCCGTACACAAGCCAAAGAGCACTATGCACAATGGCAAGTGCTGGCTTAAATAGTGAAATAACCCCGCTGGACTCTGGAGCAGTGCAAATATGTTCTCTGGAGTGACGAGTCACGCTTCACAATCCGGCAGTCTGACGGACAGGTCTAGGTTTGGCAGATACCAGCGGAATGCATATTGTCAGCAATATGGTGGAGGAGGAATAATGATCTGATTGTCAGGGTCTGGGACTTTTGGTTCCAGTGAACAGTAATGTTAATTCCACATCATACAAAGATATTTGAAACAGTTATACGCTTCCAACTTTGTGACACCAGTAGAGGATATGTACTTACTGTAACTTAGAAAATCAGCAAAACACATTTGAAAAATGACTTTGGAGCACCTAAACTTTTGCAAATGATCGGTGGGGCATGCCTAATCATATTTTAGATTAATGGTGAAGACATCAAAACTATGAAATAACACATATGAAATTATGCAGAAAGCAAAGAAAAGCTTTGTGAGGACCCCCCTCAGGTCCTTTTCCCACATGACTGTCAGGGGCTTTTAAAAAAATCAATAAAATAAAAAGTGCATCCAAACTTTAGACTGGTAGTGTACATACATCATTCCATCCATCCATCCATCCATCCTTCCACTGTTATGAGATATTTATATTTACCATCATGCTCTTCCTCTGCATGACTCTCAAACTCGTTTCTCTGCTCCTCATGGTATTCTCTCTTCCTTTCGTCAGCTGCCAGTCTCTGTCTCTGCTCAGCTACAGGGAAAGCATCACATTTAAAAACAACATTTAAAGGGAAAGTAAAAAATAATCAGAATACAGCAGAAGAGGCCATACAGGAGTGGAGGGTTTGTTCATAAAAAAAAAAATCAGGTAAATTTTGATGACACAAAATGAAAATGGAATGTCAATTACAGAAGTTATAAACACAAGATAAGGTAGAAACAGGACTGGTTTTATAGTTAGGGCTGTGCAGTGAATTGTGCAAAATCAAACCCCTGTTTTTGGCTGCAAATACACCATTTCATTGAGCAGCACAACAGCACTGTTCATCAGATGAATGGACCAATAAAGCACAGCAATTAGCACAGAATGTGCTGTGACAGATGACAGGTGTTGATGCAGGTTGACGAACAGTAGGTGTTTTTGCAGACTGCCCTGTAGCTGTGGGTGGAGGTACACCCATCATTGCTCATCATGGTTGAACAGCATTGTGTTAAGTATGTATTGCAAATTGTGCGGCCTTAGTTGCAGGTAACTACAGTGTACTCTAATACAGTATGAAGATTATGGCAATATTTTTATAGTACAGTTGTTTTACTTTTTAGATGTAAAGAATCTCTTGGGCCTGGCTTGTAACTCATTCACTCATTCACTCACACATGTTTACCAGGCTGAAGACTCTCCACAAGGGGGAGCTTTTAGCACTCAAGTAGCTTCTGGTGCTTCATAAGAGTGATGCTTCATATCAGTGACACCATGTGTGCTTGCTTTGTTGGTACTTACACTCACATACAAAAGTTTGGATGCCCCTGGTCAAATTACATGATTTATTGACATGAGAACACAGAAATGACGGAAAAGTTTCACGGAAAAAATGAGCAAAACTTGTAACTTGCCTGGAGTGTTCAGATTTTTCACATGACTGTGAACTTGTTTATGCGCTAATGCACATTATGGTAACTCTTGCTTTGTTGATGCAAAGAGCTGTTTTTCAGATTCTGTATGATAAACTCTGACATAACCAATCACTACCCTGAACTCTGACCTCTCCAACTCACTAAAAATCATGTCATCACTTGTCTTTGGATAATCTCAAGAATTCTGAGTGAGTGCATTCCGTTTGTCTGCTTGCTGCAATTTCTCCAGTTCTTACAGGCTCAGCATTGTGCATCTCTAGCACACGTTTGACCATACATTTGCATTAGTCGTAAACAGACTTTAACGCTGGAGATCTTAGAGGAGGGCAAAGTGTAACTGAGGCTGCAGCAAATTAGAATCAAATGCAAAACAATAGCCCAGTCAAAAGCTGAAGACAAACATGCAGCCCCTGCTCTGACAGAAGCTGAGGGCTGAGTGCTGGTTTCTCCGTGTTGGCCTGTGGCTCCTGCTCGCCGCTGTGGTTAGCCTCTACTGCATTCCTCAGCTGGCTCAAAACACAGCGGTCAGGGGGAGCACCTGCAGAGCCCATGCTCTACTCTAAGCCTCTATTCTCCTGCCTTAGGTGTTTACATCTGGGTTTTTTTATTATTTTATGTATATGGCGTTAAGAAAGCCTCTATACTCAGTTAATTTGCTTTGACAGGTTGATAGATTATATTCAAGCATTTTATTACTGCATTTGTTCCAAACATAGAACCAGACCTTTTCCAAGTGGTGTCTTACATCGACACAACTATAGCTCCGTATGCACAAACAAATTTATCAGCTTCAACAGTCCAGTTGTTGTTTTGCAGCCACTTCATTAAGGCTTTCCATTAGGAACAAAAGCCAAATCAGTATTGACCATAACAACTTGTGTGCAACCCACTAATCATGCAAATTCTCTTGACTAACCATCAGCTGGAGAATATAAACTAACTTACCGTTGATCTCATCCTGCGTTTTCACTGACCTCCTGCCACGCCGTTTGAAAAAGCTGCTGGCATCATTCTCTTGCATGAAAATCCTCCTTAGCCCACCTTAGATTAAGTAATATACACAATGATGACTAGGACCACGTTTAAAGCATGTAGAGGTCACCCCCCCCATCATAGCGCACTGATATGGGGAAAGCAAGAAAAACACAGGTCAACACTCTTTTTCTGAAAGCTTAAGCAATTGGCCCCAGATATAACCATTATATTTGGATGATGATGAGCTACAACTGGATGAAGGTGATAGCTTATATTGTTTTGGTCACCTTGTGGGTTTGCTGCATTCTTGTCCACCTTTCCATCAGACACAGATGCACTGTTAACCTCATGGAACACTGCAATAGACCAGAAAGAATGTCACAAGTGTTTCCTACCTCCAAATCCATGTCTTACTCATGCATTCATAGCTACATGGTACAATGTTCTAAACTCCAGCACTGATGTTGTTGTCATTATTGTTGTTGTTGTAGGGCAAGGTCCAAAGATGTAATCTCCAGCAAGCAAAGGACCTGAGTCACTCCGTTTGCCCTTTTAACATTCTCCATCTCTTATGTGTCATACTCACAGGTGAGGACGAACAGCACAGTCAGACAGGTGAGCAAGGCGAGACGCGTCCACCACATTTTTACAGCTGCGTCCAAGCTACAGACAACAAAGGGGATCCACACAGAAATACCAGCAAGCTCTCATCTGAGGTGGAGCTTGTGACTCAAGGAGCAGTGGCAGGAATTTAGGAGATCAGCAGGCTGAGTGATGGGAGGGGCACAGAGAATTTGTTTCTGGAGGGTGGACCCTCAGCAAGTTGAGCAGTGCCTAGGCCTCCATGTAGGGTTAGGTTTAGTATAAGATTTAAGTTTTGGGTCTATATTAAGGTTAGAGTAAGATTTAGGTTTAGGGTTTGACTGTAACACATTCAACAAAAGTTTAATTTAATGTTTATTTAGATGATTTTCGTTCAAGACCAGCTGAGCACCTACAGAGCATCTAAAATGGCCTCTCTGTAAAAGTAATGCAATGGAATTGACTTGGCCTACATAGTTTCTACATGCACTCACTGGACATTTTATTAGGTACTTTGCATCTACACTCGCTGTCCATTTTATGAGCTTCACTTAAGATATTGGTACACTTTGCAGACCATCTTTTTCAGGGCAGGGCAGAAGTTGATTTCAAGCGTCCCTCAGATTTGAAAAACATTTCATTTCTTCATCTAAACTAAAATTTTGCTTTGCATTCACAGTGTTTGTTTAAGTTGAATTAAACCAGTTAAATTGCTTCTTACCACAAATTATTTTTTACAGTGTACGTCGTCAGCCAAGAATATCTAGGCAACAGCATCCTGTGGCCAGAAACTGACCACTGATGAAGAACTAGAGGACACAAGCTCACAGCAGCAGATGAGCTATCTCAAATTTTAAAAAGTGGACCAACAAAGTCAGTATAGAGGTGGCCAGTGTTTGAGTTCATACCATATTAAAGAGAATTTTATCTTTCAGTTTTTCACTTTTGACAATAGTTTTGATATTTTATTCCAAAAAAAAAAGATGTACATAGTGATTCCCGTTTAACCCAATGTGAAAGTGCAGATTTCATTCAAATGAGATTGAATGAAATTTATTAGTGTTATTAGTTTCAAATTATATTAATTTTGTAAGTGTGTGAAAGGTCAAACTGTTAGGATAGATCAGTTTTACTGTTTATTTGTTTTGTACCTAAGCTAATGTTAGCGTGGCTAATGTTAACAGATGCCTTTCAAATCCAACCTTTCAATTAGCTACCAGAGCTCAGTCTAGCTATGCATAGCATTTTAAACTGGAAACTTAATGTTAAGCAGTGAATCTAAACTCCAACCTAAACTCCTTAGACTGAATAGGACTTTTACCAGTATTCTGTAAAGCTTATCCAAACTCGCAACAGGCGCTGAAGAGTGGTCTTTGCTATAGGCAAAGGTAAGTAGACACCCAGGGCTCCATGAAAATGCATATTAGATATGTATGCTGACACTAAATAACCTTTTCTAAAATTTTCATGTATTATAAAATGAACGTTGTGTTGACTATATTTAGTAATAGTTATTATTGCCCCCTGAGTAATGGGCTATTTCATTTTGTTTCGTGATGATCCCATGTTCCTTATTTGCTGTCAGTCAAATTTCAAAATCTCAAGCTACCTGGCATCAGTAATATTTGTACTAGCAGACTAAAAAACTCAGTATAACAGAGGAAAAAACAGGAGTACATATGAAACACAGCTTTAGAAGCGGTTCAGTACAGACATACATGTTAGAGAATTAACACAAAGTGAATGGAGGCCAATTTAAATAAAAGATGAATCCTGGAAACAATGTTTACAGTAATTATAGGTAAATTGTCTGGGAAAGTCAGTCTGACTCGATGATATGAGAACATGTGTGGATGGTTCAGGCAGAAGAAGTGACACCAACCTCAGCAAACATATTTAACTCCCCACTGTACAACAGCAATGTGGGCAGGTGAGTGAGGAGGCAAATGAAAAACCAAGGGAAAACCAATACTTGTGGTTGAAGGAGGGTGGGATGGGGGAATCCTGTTTCTTGCCTAGAGCCCCAAATTCACTAAATCCAGGTGCTACTAATGAGTATATTTATAGATGGAGTATGGACAATTTTTCAGTATGGAATACTATTTATTTTCTCCATGTTGCTAACTTGTCAAATATTAAAATATTTGTAATACATTAATATCTAATATGAAATGTTTTGTTTACATGCACATGTGACATAGTCATAGAACATGCCTAAATTATTTTCTTAATCATGCCGTGAGATCTCCTCCCCTGATCCTTATTAATCTTACATAGGTTTTTAATATTATCATAAATATCTGCATGTGCTAACCACTGACTTAGCAGTAAAACAGCTTGCCAGCCTGGAGACATGACTCACAGCCCAGACTAGTGAATGTTTTTGGTGCAGTGAGTGGTTTGCGTTTGGGGGAAATGAGTATGGGCCCCTTCACACAAGGAGTCCCTCTCATAGCGGCTGCAGAGAAGCAGGAGGCTACTGGAGATGTTTGCTTACTGTTTTTTTTCCTCTGGAGTCTGGCCAAGCCTCAGGACAGGGTGAATGAATGTATAAATTGTGAAGTATGCCGCTTCAGAGGTAGAAGCAGACGAAGAAATATGTGAAAGAATGTGAGAGAAAGAAAAAGCAGAATGTTTGTGTTTTCTGGATTATCAATGAAAAGTTCTTGAGAACTCCCAGGTCTGATGTGTGTTTTGGGTGCTGCACTGTTCTTAACTACACTTTGGTGTCAGTGGATAAGCATGAAAGGCCAAAACTGGACTTTTTTCTCCAAACCCCTCAAAAGCCCAGACTTATCACGTCCTAATGCTTATTAGTATTCAATAACTACATAAACTACAATGCAAACTGTCTGAGTTATGTTTACACTATAGGAGTGTGTAATGAAAGTTTAGACCCACTGGCCGTTTAAGAGGCTAAATCAATATTATGTAATCAACCATTTTACAGCAACACCTTACATAAATGATTTAGATGTTTTTGACAATTAATTGCAAATTGAGATCTTAAAAGCTTTTTTCCTAAAAACTAAACACTTCAAAATGGTAAAATGAACATTTTTGAACGTCAGTATCCTTTATAAGACTCGCTGTACTGCAGCACCAATTCATATTCATTTGGTCATCATTTTTCAAAATGATTGGAATAAGAGGGAGCTGCATTTGAATGGACAATAGAGTATAAAGAAAATGTCCTGCATTTTTCAGCCTAATCTCTATCAACTGCATCTGTTTTATATGGTTGATTACCATGGGCAGTTAATTAAACTTAAAGTTGTTGGACATAGAATATTGTTCTGTAAACTTACTAGTAGAGACAGTAGTATAAATTGCCATTGAGGAATGTGATTTTACAACGCATGTGAAAAATAAGTAGCAGGACAGGGCCCTAGCAGTAGGAAAAAAATATCAAAAAAGAAGATAAAACATAATAAATTCATGATTTATAAATGGTAACAATAAACACAATATGTTTTCTTTCACAGTGGACTGATCTCCAATCTATTAGTGCTACATGATACCATACAGCACTCACTGCAGAGTTAACAGATTCACAGATTTCCTGCTACATTGGGCTAGTTTAAAAATGCAGTTGTGGACCACTTTTTTGAGTGCAGACAGTAGAACATGATACAGTACATGCTTTAAAGGGAGGTGTGAGGGAGGGGTATTGCAGTCTGCAGTGACACTGCTAGATGCTACTAAATCTTACACACTGCACCTTTTATGTAAAGTAGCTGACTGTTGCACACAATCAGTCACTAGATTTAAATCTGACACAGGCTAGCTTCAACTGACCCCAGCTAGATGGCAAAGTGCCATCTGTCTCTTTTGCAGAATTGTGGTTTAATGTGTCATTTCTGTGAATTTTTTTGGTAGAACGTTGCCAATATGACCCATAAATTGTGTAGCTGGGATTAAATGACCAAAGAATAAATGATCATTATCACTGTTATGTGGTTTTATGATATGGATGTGGATGTCTCACTTCAATGACCTACAAACTGAGTCATTAGTTGTCTCAATTTTGTCTGCCTGGTTAATGTTTGATAGACTCCTGTCTTCACAATAAGGTAACACATGTTAAATTTCACATTTGCACAGATTGTTCCTGCAAGCTATTCAGTGACTAAATGTGACTGTCCTTTCTAGTGTGTGTGTGTGTGTGTGAGTGTGTGTGCGCATGTGAATGACTGATCAGAAGAGGGCAGAGATAACTTACTCAAACACAACCATGGGTTCAACTGCCCATGCGCTGAGGAGGGGTTCATCAGTATGCCTCTGATTGGTCAGTTCAGGCTGGCGACCTCCACCAGACGTGATACCTCACACACCTTTCTGCAGTGCAAAACTGTGCGAACATCCAACCTTACTGGCCAAAGCTATACCATGCCACGTTTTACTGTGCATGTAAGGGATGAGTGGCTGACCGTCCCCTGTAAGGATGCGTCCTACTCTATAAACTGGTTAGGAGTGGAGGCTCTCAAACGGTACGCCAAGAACAAGCCTGATAACGGAGGAATCCTAAATATCAAAGATGTGCACTTTGTGGCCAGGAGGTGTCAGGGACAGGGACTGTTGGATGGTGACGATACAATAGAGGATGTCTTGGAGGACAATGACTTTGTGGAGCTCGGTAACGTTAAACATGTTCTGCTCTCACGTTTTACACTTTCTCATGAGGTTATTGTGTCAGAACCAAATGAAATAATGATTTTTTTGTATTTTTAAGTCCTGGTTTTGTTTTAATTTGTCTAGAGATTGAAGGAGACACCATGTCTTGTGACTTCATTCCCAGCCAACCTGGAATGTCATATTTGTATCCTTGTAAAACATCATACTATATACTCTGCTAAAATGCTCTCAAACTAGATTCATAAAATGTGTATAAAATCCTTGTTTAAACTTTGCTGAAGAATACAACCGTTCACAATGCAAACAGCAATTCATGCAACTTGATGATTGTTGCAAAGTCTCAATTTTATGTGAACGGTTAACCGACACTACCTTAACAGAAGGAACCAGAATAAGACCCTACAGAGAGCCAGACGAGGTAAGAATGTTTCATACCTTCTTAGAAAACCATTTGCCTTGAAGAAAATGTAAAATTTTATCCTTTGAAAGAAATTAGTGTTAGAGAAGCATTGTCAATA